AAAAAAGTTTAAGTTTAGTGTATTGAAGACTATTAATACAGTCTTGATAATATAAGAAATCTTTAAAGATTATAGCTTGAGAATAGTTAGATGCATGATATAAGTTTTGAATAAGAACACAAGAAATATCTTTTTTTTTATATAAAATATATGAGTGATAGTGTTGAGAGTGTAGAATGATCGCTACAGGTAATGGATCTGTATAAAAAGAAAATAATAAAATTTGAAAAATTGATTAAAGACTTTGTTGTTATTTAGTAATAAGTGATTTAAATAATTTGTTAACAATGTTATTAAATCAATTTTTAGAGATAACACTAGTTAAAGAGATATTTATTATAGTTAATTTAGAAGTTTGTTGAAAAAATGTAATATAAGTAGTTTTGTAATGTTTAAAAATAAAATTTATATAAAATTTGTCACAAAAACAAGTAGACAAGGTAGATTGAATTGACATTTGAAAATAATGATGTTGTTTATTGGTTTTATATTTTGTAGATTTAATATCTTTGAATAAGATGTATAAAGTGAATGGATCAGATTCTTTGGTACTAATACTAAAGCAATCTGGATATTTGTTATAATAATTGTTTAACTCATGAGAATCATATTTGTCTATAGTTAAGGTAGACATTCTGGTTTGTTATTTTTATAAAAATATTGAAGAGAACAATAATACTTTAAAAGAAAGTAATTTTTAGTTCATATAATATTACACTTTTTGTATTACTTTTTTGTGACTGATGTAATAATAACTGGTATAACTGGTGTGGCTTGTGGTACAGTATAACTTGTATAACTTATGCTAAAAATAATATAAAGTATACACAAGGTTGTGTAATTTTAAAATTAATACAAATTTGTAATTATTTGTTTATGTAAATTAATTAAAGATTTAAAAAGAAATAGTTATAAAATAATTATCAATTGATTAAATCAATAATTTGTGATATTTTAAAATGTGTTTGAGGTCTGAATTTGAAGAAGATAAAGAGAAAAGAACTAAATTTTAAAAAAAATTTTTAAATTTTTAAAGAATATAGTTACTTGAAGTTTTTTGTTTATAAAATAATCAATTTTTGATCATTTTAGATAAAACTTATATTAAATTAAAGTCTGAGATGAGCTGAACAACTTTGTCTTAAGGGATAAGACAAGTTTTTTAGGCTAGATTTGAGTATAAGTGCTTTGAAGTTATTTTAGAATAAAGTTAAATAATTTATTTAATATTTGAGGTAGTAATATAAAATTTTATAAATATATATAAATTTAAATAGTAAACAGTTTAATATAGCTTTTAAGAATATTTAATTATAGTTTGTTAAAAAAAATAAAAATTTTCTTTAACAAAATTTTGGTACAAGTGTTCATTGAAAAGAGTTAGCAATTTGTATTCCATTTTATTTTATTTTATTTTTTTTTTGCTTATGCTAAAACTATAGTTATTAGTGACTATTGTCTTTATTATATTTTAATTATGAGTATATAACTTGTACAAGGTAAGTATACAACTAGTCACACATATAATTTTTGGTTGTCTATTTTAAGTAGTCTGCCTGCATAGCAGGTTCTATATTAGCTACTATATCTGCAATCTACTAGAAGATTACTTATTTAAATACTCTGATTTCTATATTTATACTGACAAATAGTGTACAAGTTTCTGTACACCTAAGTGCCATCTAACCTAACCATAACCTTCCTGTTTGTATATCCATCAAGTTGTTACATATTTCAGAGTATGTTACCTGACTGTAGGGCTTCAAAAAGTTTTTCTGTTAACTAACTATCCATATTTAGTATCTTGTTAACAAGACTCATTCTTGCAGAGTTCCTTCAGACTTCAACACCAACTTCATAGCATATACTTAGTATTTATAGTATACTCTGTTTCTTATTTCAGACTCCTAATTTAGATAATCTGATAGAACTATAATCTGTCTCTGATATTCCAAAATCTATTCTTCAAGATCCTTTTTTTCCAGTTTGAGACTTCTAATAATCTAATTGGTAATACTCTTTATCTAAGGTTCTTATCTATCTGATTCTTTCTACATTGGTATCTGTTTCCTAGATTTAGACTTTACAGTAATATTATCAAAGATCTGTGTTACCTTTTTATTTGAGTCTTCTCAAGTGGACTTCAGTTTCCTAGTTCATGGATTTATATAGCTATAAGAACTTATCTTTGATTTATACTGCCTAATGCTGGTTTGCATTTCTTTGTATAACTCTAATATTACACAGATGCCCTATGATCTGCCAGTTATCTGGTATGATCATATTACAGGTACTGATCTCAACTAATCGATAAAATGCTATTGCCATAATATCGCTTACTTTTTATAATACTAATATAATATAAGTGGTTTTTCAAATTTTCATCATCAGTGAGTTTTGAACTTTCAACCTACTACTTGAGGGTTGACAACTTAACCACTTCACTAAGTCATCACACTCCTTTATTTTATTTTACTTAAATACATATATAACATATATTAATAATTTATAATATATTAATTTTATTAATATAAAATAAATTAACTCACGTTTTTGTGTTTTGATTAAAAATATTAAACATAAAATGTTGAGTTAATATGAGATGTTATCAATTAAAACAGCCCTTTTTTACATATTTCTCATTTTGAGATAATTGAGTTTAATCACTTGTTTTGAATTTCGGACTGATCTGGGATTAATAAATTTCACGATTTTGATTGGTTAAAGGTAACAGGTGACTATCGGGTAATCTCGTGATGTGTTGGCCTTGGGCAGCCTCGTGTAATTTTTCTTTAACATTATCTTAATTTTTTATTATGCAAATCGACTTTCATTTATAATTGAAAAATGTCAATCATGTCAAAATTTATAAGATTTCAATAAAAACTCATTTTTCGAAAAATTGCAAAAAAGGGCTGTTTTAATAGATAACGCCCCATATTGTCAATATTGAAATATTTATTATTGTATGTGGGAATCTTTGCTAAAACAATCATTTTTCAACATTTTCAAATTAGGCTAATTTGAACATACATGTAAATCATTTTTACCTTTATTGATTCAAAAGTTTATTTTATAAGCTATTGAATCAGCAGAGGCAAAAGAACTGGTATGTTGGTCTAAATTTTTTTGAATTATCCCGATCGGAAAATGTCGGAGATTTTCCTAACAAAAAATCTCGTAATTACTTACGCTTAGTATCCCGAAAGCAGGGTTGACAATGGAGTTCAATGGAGCCCAATGAAGCTGCAAATGGAGCCAGTGGAAACTAGTTTTTTGAACCCCATTCGCATAACCACTGAGCTCCATTGCTATTCAACTATGTTTTCTCTGCGATGGGATCAATCATTTTGCTCCAAAATTCTACAGGCAATTATTTTTAAAATGGTGTTACATCGATGCATTCGCAAGTAGCAAATGCGTATTATTCTCCATAAATTTTTCCCTTGAAAACTATAATTAGATAGGTAAATTTTTGTATTACCGATAGTAGTTAACAATGGATACATACAAATTTAAAAGAACAAAAAACTTGTACGTAGCAACACGAAAAAAATATGATCACGTTATTAGCATCAAACAGCCACATGAAATTTGATTATCGTTATCATTATTTCACTTTAGTTTTGATTTTCGACTACTTACGTATAGCCTTATAATTCTTTTTTACAATTACAATTTCATCTTTAATTAATGTTCGTCTCATCACCAGGAGGTCTAGTCTTTTGTAAAGGTTTCGTCAGAGGTCTCGTATTTCGCAAGAGATTTCTTTTATTACAAGGATCTCGCTACCTACATCTTCCAGAAGGTTAGGTTTCGTATTCATATAAAAAAAAAATGCCTTCATATAACAACTATTAACTTTTTGTTACGTTTTCCAGACCTTGACCCTTCAAAAATACCAGATCTATCAAAATTAGATCCACTTCTGGATGTAAGTGGTACATTTATTGATCCACCATTTCCAGTTACGCGTCCTTCGTCAATAATAACTGCACCAGAAACTGAAAGTGATGATACGGATGTTTTATCTGCTGTAACTGGACTATCACCTATCGAAATTCGGGATTTACAAAAAAGAGCATTAGTAATAAAACGCGTTAAAAATCAAACAGCTAAAGGTAGAGTTGTGAGTATGTACGCGTTGGTAGTTGTAGGAAATGGTAATGGAGTAGCAGGATTTGGAGAAGGAAAACATGAAGAATCACCTACAGCTATTAAAAAAGCAACGAATAAAGCCATAAAGAATTTAAGATATTTTGAAAGATATGATGATAGAACTATATTTCATGATATTGAACATAAATTTCATGGTACTACTATCAAATTTTTCGCTAGACCTCCAGGTAAGAATTTTTTTAATTTTTAATTTTAATTTTTTATTTTTTTTTTTTGATATTCATAAATCACATTTTAAAAGGATTTGGAATTCGAACAAATCACTACATCCACGAAGTATGTAAATGCATTGGTATTCAAGATATATCTAGTAAAGTGTTTGGTTCGAGGAATGGAATGAATGTTATAAAATGTACATTTGAAGCTTTTAATTCTCAAAGATTACCACAACAAATAGCAAGAGCTAGGGGTAAAAATTTATTCGATGTCTATCACACTTACTATGGAGCTCGATAAAATTTTCAAAATCAATTTGAAAATATATGAACTCTATAGTTATTTTCTATTTACAAAATTTGGGGTTTGAAAAATTATGCTCTTTGCACCTACTGTAATTTTAATTTTTAAGAAAATTTATTGTTAATATCGTGTAATTCTATCCAAAATTGTGTGAATAAAAAGTTTTTTTTTTTTTTTTTTTTTTGTCTTTGATAGTCAAAAACGATGAGAAAGGAAAATGATATTGCTACGCGAGAAAAATAGAATATCAATTTTCTGTTGATGTAAAGATGCCTTTGTTTTTTTTTTTTTTTAACAAAAAATAAATAAAATTCAATATTACATTATTATATAATACACGAGGAAAAATATTTATCGCACTATTAGATGGTACTCTTATTTGACAATTTCTTTGCATGTCTAAATGCTAATATAACTTTTGATATTATCACCACCTTTCTAACTTTCGCGATGGTTTGTGTTACTCTTTCCCGATAAATTTGATCTAATTTACGATCTCTTAATTTGTTCTTTCTTGCTGGTGTTGGGACTAATTTCGCAGTCAACTCAAATGACCAATATTTGAATACGTTGACTTTAACAAAGTCCAGAACGAAGAAGTATAATAATGAAATTACAATGATACTGACACCCCAACCCCAACCAATTGCAGGTGTAAGAAGACCATAAATGGAAATGAACATGGCAAAGATTTGAGTTCCAATAACGGCAACAAAGAAAGTGGGAGATGGAAGATTTTCCCAAAAGTAACCAGACAAACGAGTAGAAAAGATTACAAAATGAGGAGCGGATGAAATGTGAAGGTACATTATGGTTTCTAATCTTTGATCATCAAGGCCAATATTGAATACATATACTGCGATGTAAAAGTGAGCAAAAGAAGCAGCGGTCAAGAGAAGACCCAATATAATTGATAAAACGATTAATTGACCAAGACGCCATTTGTCAGGACGAGGGGAAATTTTAGCATTATCGACAGCGATAACAAGTGTTGCAGCATCATTTAACAAGGCAATTAAAATCAAAAGAATAGCACTCATTTGCCAGTTTTCAATAAGAGTGATGCAAAAGAAGAATATCAAAAAGTGCACGGTAGAAGTTATACGATATAAAGCGTATGATCTCATACGTTGAAAGATAGCACGAGATGTCATGATACCATCTACAATGGTAGAAAGACCAGGAGCCAGTAGTACAATATCAGCAGCAGATCTAGCGGCATCAGTACATCCGTGAACAGCAATACCAACATTTGCTTTCTTTAAAGCAGGAGCATCGTTAACACCATCACCAGTCATACCAACAAGTAAACCACGTTTTTGTAAAAGTTCAACAACACGATATTTATGTTCAGGAATAACTTGAGCAAAACCATCGGCACGTTCACAATGTTGAGTAACTTCCTCTTCAGTTTTATCAGGATCGACCAAATGATTCGCGTCAAGAATAACTCTATTCATTCCAAGTCTATGGGCAACTTCTTTAGCAATTATTAATTGATCACCAGTAATCATCTTTACTTCTACACCGTAATGATTACAACGTCTTATAGTTTCAGCTGAATCAGGACGAGGAGGATCAAGAAGAGAAATCATGCCGACCAATTTATAAGTTTCAGGATCATCGGGAAAAGTACGAGCAACACCAAGAGCACGAAGACCACGAACAGCCAAAGAATTAACAGCACGAACGGCATCATCATCACCACCAACAAGTTTAATAATAACTTGAGGGGCACCTTTAGCAACTTTAAAAACTTCATTTGTATCAATATTAACGACAGTTGCATTAGTCATTTTAGTTGCAGGATTGAAAGGAATGAAGGCGGTAACTTTATAACCAGGAACTTCGTGTTGATTTTGACGATTTTGAAGGATTTCAAGATCTTTTTCAGCGGCAGTTCTCACAGCAGATTCAATAGGATCATTAGCACCAGGTTCAGCAGAAAGGTAAGAATAAAGAAGAATATCATTTTTTGTATAACCAGGACATAAATAAGGTTCATCGAAAGTTAATTCGTTAAGAGTTAAAGTACCAGTCTTGTCAGAACAAAGAACTGATACAGAAGCCATTTCTTCAACAGCAGTAAGACGTTTTACAATAACTTTTTTAGCAGCAAGTTGTTTAGCACCAACAGCCATTGTTACGGATAAAACAGTGGGAAGACCGACAGGAATAGCAGCGATGGTAAGGACCAATACATGACCAAGAACCTCAAAAACGTTGCCTTTTACAGGATCATTACGGAAAGAAACCATCTGATAGACGAAAATGATGCTGACCAGAACAACAGTGATCAAAATCAAAAAATTTCCTATAGCATTAACAATTTTTTGAAAATGACCTTGTTCAACAGTTATTGAGATCAAATTGGCAGCACGACCTATAAAAGTATTTGAACCAGTTTTTGTAACGACAGCCAACATTTGACCTTGTTTTACAATGGAAGAGGAATAAACGGTATCGCCTTTCTTTTTTTCAACGGGAAGAGATTCACCAGTTAAAGCGGATTGATCGATGGAAAGAGTACCTTCAGTTTCACCACCAGTAACCGAGATACCAAGAAGACGTGCATCAGCGGGAATGATATCACCAAGACGAAGACCAATTATGTCACCGGGAACAAGTTCAGCGGTATCAACTTCGACAAATTCACCATTACGCCAAGCTTTAGCCTTTAAAGCAAGGGTTTGTTTCAAAGCATCCAAAGCAGATTCAGCGCGAGCTTCTTCAATAAAACCGATGAAAGCATTAACAAATAATAAGGCCAAAATGATACCAAAATCGATCTTAAAAAAAAAAGAATTATTTTAGTTATTAAATTCAATTAAAAATGGGTAAAATTCAAAAATATGAAACACAAAAAGATATATACCCAATGTTGCACAATCGCAGCAAATACGCATGATAATTCGATTAAATAAGCAATAGCCCCGGTAAAGTAGGACAAAAATTTTAAGATAGGATTTGTTTTAGTTTCAGCGAGTTCATTACGACCGAATTCTTCAAGTCGTTTTAGAGCTTCATCAGTAGTTAAACCGTAAGAAGGATCAGTATGAAGCAAAGCTTCTAGTTCCGGAGGAATCTCGTCAGCAACCTCAACATGTTTGTGTTCCACCAGTTCAACGGGGGTATTATTACTTCCTCCCCCGGTTGATTCACTAATATCTTCCTTCTTTTCACTTGTTTCTAAACCGATTTTTTCTTCAATTCGTTCCGAAGATGACATTGTAAATATTTTTTATATCGATGTATCAATTATATAATGCACGTGAAATTTTTGAAGTGGTAAACATACAATGTAAACCAGACTTTTTTCTAAAAAATAAAATAAAAAGAAAGAAAGATATAATTGATGTTTTTGATGGTTATTTTGTTGTTTAAAAACTGATCTTAAAGAAAAAATCGGTCGCAATTTTTTTTTAAAATATGTTAAGAAAATCTAAAAAAAGAAAAAACAAGGGAAACTAAGGAAAAATAAAAAAGAACAGGGGAACCAATCAAGGTTTAATTAAGAAAAAAGGAAAAAAAGAAAAAAGGGAAACGTTTTTATCAAAAAAACTTTGAAGATATAAATCTTTTTTTTTTTTAAAAAAAGAAAAAAATCGAGGAACGGAGGATTTTATCGAGATTTTATAATCGACCAGCAGGTTATGAAATATGGAGGGTAAGAGCGAAGTAACACAATATAAAAAAATATATAACAGGTGTTGAAACAGTAAGCATAAAAAAAATGTACGTACGTATACATACCGATAAGTACAAACTAGTATGCACCACTCTCCTTACAATAAACACGATCGGAACTAGTAAAATATAAAGTGTAACCTTAGCACCTTAACTGTTAATGTAAACATAGTTATTGGATTTTAAGTTGATCAGATATATAAAATTAGTTTTTTAACCGATTTCAAAGATCAGACTTAATGGAGATAATTAACGTCAGAAATAGTTAGATAGATATATATGGCTCATAATAAGTTCTTTATTTTTTCTTCAACGTATAAGAGAAGAGTACTTTATTAATTTTATTAATTATTAATTTGATTGATATTTCAATCGATTTTCATGAGAAGTTGAGTAACTTTCTTTTACATTTTATTTCTTCTATAATATACATTTACACTTTCTATTATTCTATATTTCACATTCTGGCATCTTTCTATCATTTCTATTATTTCCATCATTTCCATCATTTCCATCAATGCGCAATAGAAATATAACATATTCCAAAAAGATGTGCAAGTTACAATAAGGAAAATACAAATGAATAAACCCGATGCGACGATTTTGCGGTTTAATGTGACAAAAAAGGATACTATGAAAAAAAAAGGGTTCAAATAATTCAATCGCGCGTAATGCAAAAGAAAGCACGCGAAATCCGAATATGATTATTATGATTATCTTAGTGTCACCTTATATGCTCATAATTATCCGCTCGATGATTGTTCTGTTCCTGGAGGTATTGTGGCACGGATTATCATGTATGTGGCTCTTCGACTACTTTGGTTACTACGGCACATAAACGGGCATATGCCATCAAGACTTTTTTATCAAATAATTAAAATCCATTTGACTTTAACTAAAACAAACAAATAATAAGGAATTGCTCAATGCCCGTTATTTTATTATTACTAATCATTCAAAATTAGGACAAAAAGAAAAACAATCTCTGAATCCTTTAAAATTTTCTTTTTTTATATTAAAAGGTTTTTTTTTAATTTCATCTATTGAAAGTCTTTTATTATCGTTATCTTGTTTCATCTAATGTTTGCTATTACTAATAAGATTTCCATATCTTTATCTCTTCATTATTACCTAACCTTAACTACCTACCTATTTTAATTATCTACTTCAATTGCATCTGTTTTAACATCAGTTGATGATTATCAGTGGAATGGCCGACTATTCGATGTTAACCGAATTAGATAAGGGAGGTTCCTCAACATATTTTTAAAAGATATCAGGATTGATATTAATAATACAAAACTGCAAGCTTCAAAAATAAATGTTTCTGTCGGTTACAATTACAATTCTGTTTTTGGTTTCCGTTTTTACAACTTTATATGAAATTAAAACTTTTTCATTACTAAATTATAAATTTTGAATTTATTTTGTTACTATTCTAGTTAGTCCCATGCTATTCATCATCAGATGGTATTGTTATTCATTCTAAATGAAAAATGTGAATCCTTTTTTCTAGATCTAATTGGTGATAATAAATAACTTGATTAGTAAGTATGTATATTTTTAAGTCGAGTAACAGAACTTTCTTTAACGGAACTTTCCTCGGGCTGAAAAAGAAATTACTTATGTATGGTAAAGAATTTCGTAATAAGAATATTATCTATTATCCTATCTTTCGTCGATCAAACAAGGGTTGGTTTCCTCCTTCCTACAAGTAATCTCTAAGAACCTTTTTTTGTTAATGTGATTTCGTTTGTTCAATAAAAATTTGGCCGTAATTTCAAACAATCTATAGCCAATTTGAATCCGTGTATCAAGTGCAGTGCATGTTGTTTGATCTTACTAATACTACTAGAGTCCAGGGATTATAATTTCATTGGACCTTCCAAATTCGTAACCTCGAACAGGGTATGTTGTAGATAATGCTGTGTCCGTTCACTCACTCGCATGAGATTACATACGGTACATAAGTGCTACGTACTAGATGTGCTAGATGCAGATTTCTATTTAGCACAACAAATCATTTTTTTGAATTATGACATCACTCTAACAACAAAATTATTGAATTATTTAATTTATCTGCCGTGCTTTCTATAGATAAGTGATTTACTTGTAGGTAATTCGTGTTATACGTTAATTCGATAATATTAATTGATAATTTACACATCTTCGATCGGCTATCTTTTTTTCATAACAACTATATATATAATAGGTTGAAAGTTTGTAGTACATTATCGTTTTGCTTGGTTAAATTTATTTCATTCGTACTTATATGTTTAGTGCTTTTTCCATGATGCACATTTCTTATTTAAAACCTATCGATTCATACAACCTTTATTTATGACATTTTTGTGAAACTTTACTGTTACTTCTATCTATATTAAGCTCCATTTACTATATTCAAAAAACGACTACTACTATGTATGAGATAATCCGGTGCTCAACGATCTACCTTCCGGGCTTTGTTCGTTAGAATTCTTGATAAAATGAAAACAAATATACAAAAATAAATACAATCAGTGTAGTGCGATACCTGATTTCCGCCGATAAGGCGTCAAAGCCCCATTATACTAAGCCTTCTGCTTTAATGTGACTTTATCAAGATTTATTATTTATTATTCATTCTTAATTGATAAACTGACTAAATTTTGGTCATAAGTCCCTGCCAAAATTAATTACTTCTACTTAATTTGTTTAACATAACGCTTGTAATGATTATTCCTTATTTATCTTTGGAACTGATTGTCTACGTATAACCGATAACTATTAAAGTTTTAATTTTTTTTCATTTTAAAAAAATCAGTGTGTATTGATTTTAATTTACCAAAAATATCTGTATTGTATGTATTATCGCTCCTAAATTTACCATTTATAGGCTCATATATTTATACGTATGCTAATCTTTGCAATAAATATAATTACATATTAAACTTCGTTCTAATTTAAAAATAAGGTTTTAATATTTTCTTTAATTATTTAAATTAAAAAAAATTTAATTAATATTGTACGTGGTTTTTTAATTACTTTAGATTGCGCACGTAGATACAGTATACGTATAGAGAATAAATATATATTATATAAAATTTCTATTTAAATAGCATATACAAACAAAAGTTTATTGTTATTTTAAACCTTTTAACTAGTTTTTAATTATTGTATTATCTTAAATTTATTTGTATTTTTTTAATAACTTAATTAAATATATATTACTAAAATTGACCAATATAACACAAAATATCTAGTTATATATATTAGTTAAATATAATATAATATTATTTTTTTTTGTTTTTGTCAAGACTGATATTTATAACAACTATTGTTTTTATTGTATATAATTTTAATTATTATTACATATAACTTGTACAAAGATAAGTGTACAACCAGTTACATATACAACTTTTGGTTGCTTATTTAAGTAGTTCATTTGCAAATTCTATACTAGTTATTATACTTATAATTTACTAAGAGATTATTATTTAAGTTTTTTAGTTATTATACTACATTAGATAAATAATGTTTAGTTCTTATAGATTTTTTTTTTTTTTTTTTTTTTTTTTTTTATAATGCCAAATCGTAACCTATATTTTATTAGCTTTTTGCATTACTA